AGCCTGCTTCCGAAACAGCTCTGAAACATCCGAAACATTTCAGAAAATTTCTGAAATGTTTCAGTGGCCTATTTCATTTGGGAGCTGTTTCAGAGCCCTGTGTTTTGTTTCAGATTCAGTGTTTCAACCGTCGAAACATCGGAATCCAAAACTAAATGAAACAGCTGCCAAAATTTTGCACAGCCCTAATGTATATATAAATAAATAAACTGTGTATGCCATCAATTCTTGTCCTATGGAAATTTAAGTACTAGCAGGGGCTTTAATATATATATTTTTATCTGCACTATTCTCAAGCCCCTAATTCAGAAATTGTGACCCCAAAAATCATGACTTTGCCTTAAAAATAATTAACTTTGAAAAATAATACCTTTTTCAATACTACTTTTTTTCTTTCCCTTCAAGATTTTGAGTCTTTCAGCTTTACTTTTTCAAACTTTTTCTCTGCAGCTAATAAGACTAGAAACTAGCTGTTTATTTCTAACAAAAGCTGAGATTTTTCTCATAATATACTTGTCATTGGGACTTATCACAAGTCTAATGGTAAAATTGCAGGAGCTGACAGCATTGTATCTTGCACTTGTCTTTGTATATTGAATTTAAAAGTGCCTGCAAATCAACCAAATTCCTATGTACTTCAGTACTCATTATTGTACAGTACAAAGAAAAAAGTACAAATCTAAATTATAGCATAATGAGTATATCTCCTAAGCCCTACTAACTAAATTAATATACAATTATAATATTACTAACTTTTTTGATGAAATAATTTTGTTTGATGAATGATTTGATGCAAATGAGAACTGTGGAAGAATTTTGGCTTGACCTTGAGTTCATAATGGTTCTTCTCACAGATACGAACAAGCGTTTCTGACTTCCCATATTGGGCATAGACCCACAAAATATTTCTGGATTGGCCTTTCAGATGTAGAAGAACAAGGTACTTTCAAGTGGGCCAATGGTGACAAGATTCTGTTCACTCACTGGAATTCAGGCATGCCTGGTATGTACTGCAGTGCTATGTGAATGGGACAGCAACCTAGGAAATATGACACAAAGGCTAGGTATAGACATTCAAAGATAGAATTGATCTAAATTGTGAGGTTTTCTGTAGGCAGCATAGTTTAGATTGGTAGTGAGCAGAAACACATTCGCCCTTTGAGGAGAAGGGGGACAAATTTTAGACCAAGTTCCACCATTTTTAAACCAGCCTATGTACGCTGAACTTATGTTCTGTTATGGGTTTCATAGTTTCATAGTTGGTAGGGTTGGAAGGGACCTGAGCAGATCATCAAGTCTGACCCCCTGCCATGGGGAGGAAAGAGTACTGGGGTCAAACGACCAAGGCTAGGCGATTATCTAGCCTCCTTTTAAAGACCCCAGGGTAGCAGCGAGCGCCACTTCCCTTGGAAGTTGGTTCCAGATACTAGCCGTCCTGACTGTGAAGTAGTACCTCCTGATATCTAGCCTGACTCTACTCTCCGTCAACTTATGGCCGTTATTCCTTGTTACTCCCAGTAGTGCTCAGGGGAACAGGGACTCTCCCATTACCTGCTGGTCTCCCTTGGCCAATTCATAGATTCATAGATGTTAGGGTCGTAAGGGACCTCAATAGATCATCGAGTCTGACCCCCTGCATAAGCAGGAAAGAGGGCTGGGTCTAGATGACCCCAGCTAGATACTCATCTAACCTCC